TGTCCCGGCTGCTTCTTGATGTATGCGCTCATAGACACTCTAGCGGCTCAATGCCTCTTACGCACAAATGCGTCCAACTCCTTCAGCGTCATAGTACGCTTCCGCCGACGCAGCCAACCAACCGTCGCTGTGAGTGCCGTCTCATCGCATATACTGCTGCTGTTGTTGTTGTTGTTGCTGTTGTTGTTGTTGTTACTGCAGCTGTTATTGCCACCACTGCCATGGTTGCTGATGCTGTTGCCGCTGCTACTGTTGCTGCTGTTACCACCTTTGCATCGCAGCCAGGCGGCAAAACGACTCATGTAGTTCTCTTCAAGAAGATCCGTTTCGCACGGCACCTCCACCGTGTTCACTGTTCGATCGCCACCCACACTGCTGCAGCTGTTTGAAATTGCGCCATCACGCGAAGTTGAGGCGGAGGAATGTGCCTTTTCCTCCTCTTCATCGTCCTCCTCACAGTCCTCTTCAGCATCGTTGTGGGTATTGGTGTCCTCGTCGCGCCGCCGCTTTACGCCGGTTTCACCCTTCACGCCACCACGCGCCGCTGCTGCACGGGGCCAGCGCTGCGCCACAAGCGGGGCGAAGCGAGTGCTGCCCGCCAGCACGCGCAACACAGCGAGTGGTGTAGGGATGTTGGTGTACCAGCGCATGTATTGTGCAATCAGCTCACGGTGCGCCGCTGCCAACGCCTTTACGCGCAGAAGACGGAGAAGTTCATATTGCACCCCAATGCGGCGGTGGAGTGAGTCTCGCAGGGCCTGCAGAATCATGTCCAGCAGGGCATACGCAACGGTGCATTGCGGCTCTACATCCCCCTTGTCATCGGCACACTCACCTCGTCGGTGCTTATGCTGCTGCTGCTCTTTCAGCATGCAATACGCTTCGGATAGGCTCACAAGCTTCATGTGATGAGGCTCACCACGGGGGACGATGCCAATAAGGAGAATATCGTCGAGCAATGCGTCGCAGGTGGAGGAAAGCGCAGCAGCAGCAGGAGCTCCGGTGTCACGCCTGCTGGTGAGCCGTTCGAGCGTCACCGCAGTGTCGTACGTCATCTCCACCACGCGGGCAAAGCGCAATTCCCACTCCGCTCCACCATCCTCTTGTATCATTCTTTCGCGCTGGTGGTCACCAAGGCGGCGCAACTGCTGCACCACCGCAGATGCTAACGTAGTCGGCAGCGCGCGTGGCTTTACCACTCGGCCTGGCACATTGTGACCATTCTTGTCGTCATACTGCAGCGGCGGCAGCGGCGACGGTGGCAGGCAGTAGTACCGCTGCGCCACCACGCGCTGCTCCGCCCACAGCCCCTCTGTGTCGGCCGTGTATCCGACGCTGCCCTCCGCCCACTCTACCAGCGCGCCTGGCAGGGCAGCAGGGGCGGAGGACAGCGTCGGTGTGGACGAGGTGAGCAGTGAGTTGTAGTGCATCTTTGACGCGAGACTGGCAGCATGCTGCAGGCATGTCACGTTTGCCGTGGTGTCTGCGCCGTCCGTCGCGGGGAGAGGCGGCGGCCACAGCGTGCACGGCACAATCTGTGCAACAAGCCCATACTCAGCGTGTGTGCGGGGCAGCAGCGGCACCACGTTGCACATGACAGTCTCATCAACGATGCACACAGGCACATCCGCCGCCGCTGGCGGAGACGACAACGATGACGGTGATGAAAGGGACGTTGGCTGCGCGTTGCTGTTGCGGTGGCTGTTGCGCAGGTTGCTGCTGCCACACGCCTCCACTCCACGAACCCACACCACACTGCTGGGCGTCACTAGATCGGGCGACGACGCCAGGCCAGCCAAGCCACTGCTACCACTACTGCTGCTGCTGCTGGACGGCACCCTCTGCTGCCGCTGCCGTTTCCGCGTCTCGCCCCCCACCTCCTCTTCCTGTGCGACGCCGTGGTGCAGCTGCCCCGAAGGCATACCCGCCACTCCAGTCATCCAAAAGGCAAGTGAGGCGGAGGACGACAGAGTTTGCCCCTCGTCATTGTAAGGCTTGTCACTGTTGCCACCTCTGCAATGGGTCCCCATTTCGGGCTCTTCCACTTTCCTCTCACACATACACACACACCCTCTTTTGCGCCGCTAGCACAGCACAGCCACGGTGGCCGAGTGAATGTGACACCTTGCTATCTTCCCTTTTTTTTTTTTTTNTTTTTTTTTTTTTGCGTAGCACGTGCGGAAGAAAGAGAACGCCCAGTGTGGCAGTGACGGAAAGCTAAGAGAAATGGCATAGGCATATTCTTTGCCAGATACCCCAACGAAAACGCATTGCAAGGGTAGAGAAGCAGCTCCACACTGTATCCCTCCTATTTTCTTTTCTCACTATCCTGTTCGCTGAGAAGTCATCAAAAAGCATACACGAAGACAGCGTCACCACGCATACCCTCCACAACTAAGCAGCAAGCACATCGTAGAGCTACCACATGCAGACGCCTAATTGATACTACACAAAGAGAGGCACTAATCACTAGCAACTTCATAACTCCTACCATCCCATCAAGCCCCCTACCCATTTACCCTCTCTTGACCTTGATCCAACCCATGCCGCTATTTTTTTCCATCTGGCTTCGCACCACCAGCAGCAGCAGGCGAAGGTGCCTGGCCACCGCTCGTTGCATCTGGCTTCGCACCACCAGCAGCAGCAGGCGAAGGTGCCTGGCCACCGCTCTTTGCATCTGGCTTCGCACCACCAGCAGCAGCAGGCGAAGGTGCCTGGCCACCGCTCTTTGCATCGGGCTTCGCACCACCAGCAGCAGGAGGCGGAGGCGCCTGGCTACCACCACTGCTGCTAGAAGGGCCAGGCCGACTGGGACTCTTCCCAGAGACTGCACCAAACTCTTTGCCGTGTTGCGACATAGCCTCCTCAAACGACTTCTCCCACTTTGCACGGAGTTTCTTTTTCTTTTCATCGTCGTCCTTGGTATCCTGCTCCTCATACTTTTTGTAGGGTGCCTCCTTCGGTGTCTCTTCATAGTGGCTTGCTGGGTGCACAGGAGGCTTGCCTTCATTGTCTTCGAATGTGATGCCGTCGTTAAACGTCACCTGAAAAGGTAGCGGCTCTCCCTTGGGACGGTTTGATGTCCACAAGTGCCGCCATTCCGCACGTGGGCCGTCGCGCGGCTCCACATACTCGCCAGCCTGCACCAGATCGTAGTCAGGGTCCTCGCTGGGGTCTGTTTCCTTCCCATGCTTGATCTGCTCGCGGAACCGCGCTTTGGCACGCTCCACAGCGCCCTTGAAGTCCTGTGGTCGTATCTTCCCTGGGTATGACCACGGCTCCTGTACCACCTCTGTGCGCTTCACCATTTCCCACTCCTTGTCCTCTTCCTCCATGATGCGGCGCAGCACCTCTTCCTCCTCTTCGTTGCAGCGCAGCAGGTGGCCCTGCTTGAAGCCGTAGCCCTCTGCCCTGCCATGGTGGTCCTGCCCGTTGAGGTAAAGGTGTGAGAATGGGTAGCGCGGGTAAGCCTCCCACATGCCCGTAGGCCCCATAAAGTCGTATCGGTACTTGTAGCGAAAGGTTCGATTGCCGTGCTCGTCCACAGTTTCGTCCCACTTCAGGATCTGCTGTGGTGGCCGTGGAAACATCTCTGTTGGATCGTCGGGGTTCTTCGGCTGCCAGTCCTTGATGCGGAATATCTCATCTGCATCCATGTACCAGTGGCCCACAATGTCAGAGGCGGTGTTCGCCACATGCCAGCGGAACGGTGATGTGTGCTTTGTGTTGTACAACAATGGGTCACAGTATGAGCCGGGCACCATGCCATACGCGGAAAGTGGGGCGAAGCACACCTGCTCCAGCCGCTGCTGGTGCAAGTAGCCCTCGCTGCCCGGGCTTGTCCATTCCTCATCCCACGTGTAGGCGATCCATGCGCGGTGGCGTATCTGCCTCCAAAGGCGCAGCAGCCGTCCAGGCTTGACGTTCTTGAATGTTGTTGGTGGGGCGTTCGCGTCGTCCTCCTCCGCCGCCCACACGCGCAGCACAAGGGAGGCGCGCAGGTAGCGTGGACGGCACGCCCGCAGCATCAGTGCGAGGCTACTCTAATCCACGAGGCGTGGGCTCTTGTGGTGTGTTGTGTGCTCACTCAGTGCGGGCACTCCTTCGCACACGCAACAATGTCCTTCCTTTTTTTCACAGCTCGTAGCTTGCATATACAACAGCAGCAGGGGAAAGGAGGAAAGCACAGCTTCTGCACCACGCATTCATCCGCGCCTCAGAACGCACACGTACCCACCGACAGCTCTAGGCGTCTTTATTACAAGGGGGGGGAAGACCGTAAGCAAAGTCGCCAATGCACTATGGCAGTAAACCAAGAAATTGTGGCATTCACATGCCCTATCGTCTGGTGGCTTAAACAATTTACCTGAAGAAGAGCACCTTACAATCTCTTTGGCTTCGCCGCACAAGTACTCGCTCAGGTAGGTGTCCATCACACTCCTTTTCCTGGACCACCTCTACCTGCTGCGTTGCATTAGTCCTCTTCCTCTTCAGTGGTTCATGTTTGTTTTGGTTTGGTTATTATTCGTATCACTATTGTGACCCCCTCGTGATTCTCCTTCAGAGAAATGATGTCTCCGCTCAAAGTGAGCATTGCTACAGTATGTGCTTAGGTCCCCACCTGGCCGCAGACGCCAGTCACGCCATTTCACCGCCTGCTCATTTCGCTTTGATTCGTTATCGCTCCTCTCAACGTGCACGAAAACAGCACTCGCGGAAGCAGCTACAAGTTCCCCCAAGGCGATGGCACAAAGTCACAGAAAGGAGCCATAGTAAAATGAAGCAAATTTAAGATGTAAGTGCGAAGCAGCGAACGATGTGGTGCCACAACAGTTCAGGACGCTCCATGCACGGTCTCCCCTCCCCCTCATTAAGTGATTCATTATTATTGATATTATGCCATCATGTCAATGGCACAGCTTGACACCGCATGCGCTCACAGAAGCACTGCGCTCTAGAAAGGGGTACCACAGGTTGTGCCCATTTTCCCTTCGAGCCACGCAGTAGTACCGCAGATGCGAGAACAGGCCAGCGAGCAGCAGGCCAAGCGCGAAGGTGGCGATCGTGACACCAGCAAGAGCCCCACCATTCAAGTCGACCACACGAATCTTTGCAGCAGAGAGCGAGTCACCCTCACTCCTATCGGTAGACGAGGCTGCAGCAACAGCAGGACACACACTTCGAGAGAAGTCAAGCACACCCCCCGTCATTGCAGGCGTACTTTAGGCAAACTGAACGACACTACCTGCAAATGGAGCTTTACGCAACAGAGCCGCTGCAGTTCATTTACATCCGTCCTCATCACCGTCGTCAGGTAGCAGGCACCACCCATCAAACCCGTGCCCCTCAACAACCCCAAGAATCTGATGAAGTCCTATAGGGGGCAGACCTTCTCAATCAGGTCCTCGGTGCTCATCGGGTACACCTTACTGTCACTGTGTGTGTAGTTTATCCGGAACGGCCACAACGTGAGGTTGTATTCGCTGTTAGATGTCGTTCCGGAATAGCCGCGGAGCGCATACACGTAGCGTTTCCCGTGGGTGATGAGCTCCAGCAGGATCGCAATGGCGGTAAGGCCGAAGTGCAGGCTGAACGCCGCACTGTCATGATTCCCCCACCCCCAGTGTTGCCGCTGAGGGTGTAACAGTGACGTCATGGGTGCTGCAGTGGTAAATCTTGTAGCTGTTCTTCCCCCAGTACAGTTTCCTGAATGTTCCGCACCATAGCATGTGGAAGGGGATGCCACTGGCTTCCGCTTTCGCGTTCCAACTCGTTGTATGTGTGGTGCGAGGAGGCCGCTATGTTTATTGCGGTATTTAATGTTGGAAAAGTTCGACAAGTAATTCCTCCGCAACTGGAAGTGCGAGAGCAACCCCAAGGACTTTTAAATCGCTGCAGTATCGAAAAGCTGCTGCGCGCAGGAAACACACAGGCTATAGTCACGTCAGCAGTCCTTCGAGCAGGCTTCAAGTGCAAACAGCGGTCGGGTCTTCGTGCGTGGTGAAAGTAGCGCCAAGCATGCGGATTGGCCTGCGCGCGTGTCCATGCGGCACGGCCCCGCTGGACAGCAGCAGCAGCGGTGTTCGGCCGCACCCACGGGCCAAGCAGCACATCTGGCAGCAGCGGCAGCGCTCCGGGGCATGCGGGACATGCCCATTGAGCGGCTGTACACGACAGCCTCAATGTACACATTCGGAAGAAATCCGAGTCCCAATCGCAGAAGAACCGCCCACCGTTCTGTTTGTAGCGGTTACGAAGGAAGGCAACAAAGTTAGATCCCTGCATTCTTACCAAGATTGCTTATCAGACAGCATGGGACATCAGTGCAGATGTGCGACACGTTGCCCTTTTCAATCCACCCAGCCCCAGCCGAACGAGTGCCGCGGCGGTGAGGCAAAACCGCTCGAGGTGCAGGCGTTACTCGTCGGACCCTCCAGGGGCAGCAGCGGTGCTCGCAGCGGCAACAAAAAAGAGAGCGGTGGCAACAGCATGCAACGGGGTGTCTGCTTCCCTCCCACGTCTGCGCAAACGAAGCACTTAGAGGGCCCATTTTTATCGGTATGTTATTACTTTATTTTTTTTTTTTCCTTGCGTGCCCGTGGACTTGTGCTAAAGTTATCCCACTCCATAAGGGGCATCGTGGTAAGCGACGAAGAGGTGAATAATAAAGAGTGGACAGCCCTGAGGGCTTATGCAAGACACACCCAACCAGACACCAACAGGCGCCGATATCCACGACCACGAAAGCAACTATACCAGTTGCTTCCTATCCCACCTCGACGTTAGTGTCTTTTTATTGAATTTCACCCTCTCTGGAGTAGGCCAATGGTTCGTCCAAGCCGTGGAGCCGGCCTGGCGGGTGTGGGGTACAGTTTTCGCCTCAGCTGCCCGCGTCTGCCGCGCCGCAGAGCTGCGCGGCCTTGGCGGCCACCTCCTCCACCACATACTCCGCCACCACACCGAAGGCCACAGGCAGCGGCACAGTGTTCGGCGCGCCGTCACCATCGCCATTCGTGGTCGCAGTCTCTGTGCCTAGCTGCAGCAAGTCTCGGAGAGCGGGGCAGCTCGCCACCTGCTGTACCTTCTTCCGAAGCCACGCTCCCACCTTATCCTCGCTGAAGCGATAGTATTGATCGCCGCCCACCGACTTGAACTCGCAGATGCGTGCGAGCACTGCATGTGACTGCATCATCGCAACCGCCGGAGCCAAAGCGGGACACTGTGCCACCGCCACGCCCCACCCTGGCCACTCTGCACCACGTCCACCTCCACCGCCTCGGCTTGCGCCCATGATAAGATCCTCAGCAGACACAAATTTATCCTTCATGGCATGCGTGGCCGCTTGGCGAAGGACAAAGAACGTGACATCAAATGGCGTCACGACGAGAAGATCCTCGTTCGGCTCCACCGCTTCGTCTATGAGCCACGTCTGACCGAACCCACCGGGTGGGGCCTGCGCTTGTACTTCATATAGCACCACTGTCGTTGCTTCGGCAATCGAATCTCCACCGCCGTCGTTACTGTTGCCGTCGTTGTGGTTGCTAGGTGCGCTGTCTGTGGCTGGTGGACATAAGAACAGCCCCGGTTCGCCATGACGCGGATGCGGCAGCCGTATAAACGCACAGCCTGGGCGGAGCGCAGTAGCAGAAGTAAGAGGCGGCACGGCCCTCTGCGAAACAGCGGGCATTCGCACCGCGGAGTCGGGTGAGGCACCGACGGCGGCCGCGCTGGTGAGACCCGCGGAAGGCGACCGCTGCCAGTCCATCTCTGAGACGGCTGTGCAACCGGCGTGCACCCCGTGGTCCTCCTTGTCACTGCCGCTTGCTTCAGCACCCCCGAGAAGTATGCGCGGCAGCACCATCATGTGGCTTGAGGGTCTGCCAAGTGGCATTGCGACGGTATGATCGCCAGGATCGTAGTGCACGTCGCCAACCCCAATAGCGGCGACTTTGTTGGGATCAAAAGACAGACTCTGGCTGCCTTCGTCATCGAGTTCTAGCCGGCGACGCGGCGATCCCCCGTCGGATGAGCCACAGGATGATACATCAATGCTCTGCGGCACGTTGTTATTGCCGCTGTTGTTGTTGTTATCATCATGGCAAGAACTCACCAGCCGGCTCTTTTTGGCCGACCGCATGGCAATGCGAGTGATGACGAACACGAAAATCTATGTGAGCAGCCACGGCCTGGATTTCTCGGTAAGCATTGTTTTTTTTTTTTGTAATTAATGAAGGGGGGAAGTGGCGTAAGAATACAGAAATGAAAGAAAGAACTATAAAACAAGTTGATGCAGAAATGGGACACGCACTGACACCCGGTCAGGCCCCTCAGCGTATCACGCATTATTCCCAAAAACACCTTTTTGCGGTCTTGTCTTTGTGACCGCAATGGCGTTGAATGGACTGCGGTTGTTCCGCACTGCGTTCATCGTGCACACACTCTCATGTGAGGGACATATGAGGAATAGCTACACCAGGTACTATTCTTCGCTCTCACTGCAATGGCGCTATTCTTGTGTATTTTCTTTCCTTTTGCTTTGGTTTTGTTTCGTTGGTGTGCACATGCGCATATATAAATATATAAATATATAAATATATAAATAGGCCCATCGTCACATTAACACCGGCAGAGGGAGTAGAGAGCAATGGTGTGTGTGTGTGTGTGTGCCACACTCTGGTAGTCCAACCACCGGGCGCTGCTGCTTCTGCCTCTGCTTCTGGCACGAGAGCGCATCCTAAATTGATTGCTTCCCTGTCATCACCTCCTTCACGAGCAGCATGTTGGCGCGAAACGACCACCACGGGTACTTGAAGGACGTCGGCGTGGTGCCCTCAACCGCAACGTCGCCGGCCCACGCAATGCCGTACCCGGCGACTAGCGCAGCAATGGCATACGGCAGCGAGATGCCCTTCACCACCGATGCGAGCAGGAGAGCAGCGCCGACGAGGGTGCCAAGGAAGTGGCAGCGCCGCGTCGTCTGCTTCATGTGCTTCGCCAGATAATAGATGTAGAACTCCTTGAAGTTGGAAAACGTGACGTCGAGCTTGAGGTTTAGGCTGACCATTGCGCTGGTTGTGATTGACTCAGTTGGTTTTTGCCCCTCCGATGTGCCTCTTGTTTGCTCGTTGTTGTTGTTTTTTTTGTGTGTGTGTATGTGTGTGCCTTACTCCTCGCTTCTCTGTGGAGGGGGAGGGCTGCGTCTACTGTCGCTGCTGCTGCTGCTGCTGCTGCTGTGAATTCCAGAACTAGTGGTGGTGGTGGGGACGGCGGGAAGAAGCAAACAGAGAAGGAAGCCACACAAATGGAGCGTTACGCCGCACACCAAGAGGGATGAAGCGATCGGTAAGCAAGAACAACAGAACAATAAAAAAAAAAGCACATACACACACACACACACATCTCCAGCCGGAGAGACAGGAGAAGAATACTTCGTGTTTCTAATCCTCGTGATGATGTCGCCGCTGCTCTTGCCGCATACGCCATCCTCCTCCACTGTACATTACGAATGACCCTTTTCAAGGGAGTATATACGCGTCCGTGCGTGCGCCAATGCATACCACCATCACACAAGCACGCAGGCACATGTGCAAGCAATCAAAATGACGTCTTTGCTCGCTCTCACTTGGCCTTCTTCGCCTTCTTCCGATGCCCGCCCCCACTGCCTTTCTCAAGCAGCTGGTTCACCGCCGCTTGCGCCTCTGCGATGGCACTGCGGTACTCCTTCCGCTGCCCCGCCCAGCGCTGGCAGTCCTCGTTGATCTCCTGCAGCTGCTTCCGCTTTTCCACTTCGCGCTGCGGGCCGTTGTTTTGCATGTACTCCACCTGTGCCTTGAGCTGCCGGTGCTCCTCCTCCACCTTCTCCCGCACCGCAGTCTCCGCCTCTAGGCGCTCCTTGGCGAGTTCCATGTCGATCTCCGTCTGCTTGAGTGCCTCTTCGAGTTCCGTGTCGAGGCGCTTCTTCTCGTCGAGGCAGTGTGTCTCCTGCGTGACGCAGTTCTCCAGCATCTCCTGCAGCTCCCGCTCCTTCTTGGCCATGTCCGATGTCTCCTGCTTGAACTGCAGCTCGAACGACTCCTGCGCCCGGCCCAAATCGAGCTTCTTCTGCTGCAGATTCTCCAGCTCCGCACGTGCCTCGTCGAGTTTGTACATTTGGTAGTGCAGTCGAATGAGATCCTTCTCCAGCTCGTCCTTCTCGGTGTTGCGGTAGGTCTCGCGGTTTCGGGCTGTGGTCTTCTCCACGTTGAGAACAGTATGGTGGCCGATGCTGTTGCCCTGCAGGCCGCAGCGCAGCAAATGGCGGTTGCTCTCGAGCAGCGCCGCGAAGGCCGCGCCGGCGTCCTCGGTGAAGTGGTTCTCACCAAGGTACAGTCGCTGCAGCGTCTTGTTCCCCGCGAGCGAGACTCCAATTGCCACCACGCCGCGCTCACCCATCCATGTGTGTGTGAGGTTGAGCGAGAGCAACGTTGTGTTTGTTTCTAGCATGCTGGCGAAGGCGCAAGCGCCCTCGTCTCGCACAGCATTGCCCTCTAGTGAGACATCTTGCAGGCATGCGTGGCGGAACAGAGAGCTCGCCAGCATGACTGCTCCTGTGGAGGTGATGGCGTTGTTCTTCAAGTGCAGCGACTGCAGCGCGCCGTTGGTATTGAGCGAGTTACACAGCGGCTCCATTGCGGCGTCATCAATACCACAGGAGTCGAGGTGGAGGCGCACAACGATGCGGTCGCTTGACAATGAAGAGAAAAGACGTGGAGGTGGTGCGCCACTGTTGGGCCGCATCAGCATGTTGTCGTTCAGCAATATCGTGTGCAGCGCGGAGGTGTTCTGCAGCAGCACACGTCCCCGCACGAGGTCACCAAGGGCGTCGCCGACTGTTCCACTGAGGGCGTTGCCGGAGAGATCAATGAAGGCGAAACTGCTACTCTGCATGGCGGCGTGAATGATGCTCAAGGCAGCATCTGTCGTCAACTGCACCTCACGCAGCTTCAGCGTCGTCAGCGTTGACGACGTGCTGATCAACTCTGCAAGGACGTCAATCGGACGGCGGTTGGGGCTGATGCCGAAACCGATGCTGTTGGTACTCGGGTCGTCACTTACACCTGTCTTGCCGCTCGTTGGCAGTGACGGCAGCATCTGCGTCTTGCGCGCAGCAGCAGACGTCGGACGACTTGGCGTTCTCGACGGAGGCATGACGTTGAACTCCACCGCCGCCCCGCGGGCCTTGCTGTTACCGTTGCAGGAGTTTCCCTCACCGATGGTGCTGCCGCTGAGGTCGATGTGGCGCAGTGTGCGGCTGCGCAGGCAGCCCTCCAGCAGGATCGTGGCGCTCGTGGCGTTGATGCGGTTGGCATACGCGTCGTGCTTTGAGGAGCCGAGGATAAGCGTCTGCAGCTTCTTGTGGGTGGCCACGACGAAGCTGAGTGTCTGAATACCGAGGGAGCCGATGTCGTTGGCGCCGAGGTCGAGGTAGAGAAGGCCAGGCAGATCGCGGACCAGGTGGCCAATCATCTCGCAGCCGCTGTCGCGCAGTGTGTTGCCGTGCAGGTCGAGGCGCGTCAGTGGGGAGCGGTGCAGCAGCGCCGCAAGGCTCGCTGCCACGTTGGCGCCGAGCCGCTCCTTGCGCAGGTTGATCTGCCGCTCGGAGAAGCCGTGTTCCATGACCTCGCGGAAGAGCTTGCGGGAGTCATTGTTGTTTTTCTCCCCGGTGTCCTTTAGCCAGGCAAGGTACAGGTCACCGAAGACCTGCTCCTCCGACACGCCGACGGAATTGAACATGCGAGGCCTGCCTTTTCCTCTTGATACGTGTGTGTGTGTGTGTCCTTTCTAAGCAGTATTTGCCTATGCAACCGCCGCTTACTGCTTCCCTGTGTTGCTGCAGAAGCAGCAGACTACTGAGCCCACACTGTGCGTGAAAGGGGAGCGGGAAACAAAAGGAGCAAGATCAATGTGTAAGTGTGGGTGCAGGTATAATTATATAATAATAATAATAATAATAATAATAATAATATAATTATATAATTATGTGTGCGTGAGTGCATGTGCAAGTGAGCGTTACCGAGCAAACAAAAGTGTGTGGCACCTCACCATCCGATACGCTTCAAGAGCAGCCATAAACAAGAAGACACATACACACACGCACACCCGTCCAAGCATGCATGCCACTTCTCTCCCATGTCCTCCGTCTCACCTCACCCCGCCCCTTGCCTGCTCCTCTTCCTCCTCCTCCTGCAGTCGGCTGCGGTCCTTCGGGGAGAGCCCGAGGCGCCGCCGCACGTACCGCTCGCTCGAGCCGCTCGTCATCACAATCGTCTGCGTCCGCAACGGGCCGAACTGCACGTGCAGGTCCGTGCGCTGCGAGGACGGCAGGGCGGACTCCAAGTTGCGCACCTGATCACGCTCGGCGATGCTCGCGTCGATGAGAGGCGGCAGCGCAATCTCCGTGTCGGCGAGGTCGAGGTATGAGCGCTGGTCGAGGCGCAGGTGCGGCGGCAGGTAGCCGTTGGTGGGGAACGTGCCGGGTTCGAGCAGCTGCTTGTACTCGCCCCACATGACGAGGTAGTTGCAGCGAGTGTACGTCGTGCCGAAGCCGGAGCGGCGGATGACGAGCCAAAACATCGCTATGCATGTGAATCCGCTCCAAAGCGCGAGGAGCAGAAACCTGCCGCGATGCTTCACGTAAATCTGCATATCTGTCTTCCCTCGTTGTTTGTGCTTCCCCTTCCCTCCCTAACCTCCTCCTACTGTTGCTGTTGTCGCCGCCACGACGGCTACTAGCACTGGCACAGCTACTCTGTTTGCTGCTGCCAGGCGCAAGGGGGCTTCCACACCCAAGCTGGACAAAGCCACCACCCGCCTTACTGCCACTGCGTCAGTTAGGCAGCGGGTCCGGCAGACTACATCAACAACAAGGGAAAAGGAGTAAGAGACACGCAGAACCCAGTCGTTGCTCCAATTGGTATCATTACTCATATTAGTAGTATCATCATCAGTATAGGCACAGCGCAGTGTGGGTTGCACAAGACATTGCATATATCAAAATGTATGCAGCTGCATACGTCTCTCTCTCTCTCTCTCTCTCGCTCCCTACCCCCTTCCCTCCGCGCGCGCGGCGGGGTGTGTGTGCGTGTGTATGTGTGCGGTCACCCCCTCAGGGCGTACAACGAAAGGGGAAAGACAAAAAACACGCCTTACAATGGAAGAGGGAGGAAGGGCCAGTCATAATGTCTGCGAGCGCGAGAATCTACATGGGGCGGCGCGACGTCCCTACGTCGTGACTGCCCACAAGTCGCGCAGCGCCACACCTCCGCGAAGCTTCTCCACGGCGAGGCCGATCGACGTGTTGAACACCGGCCGCCTGTCCGCTCCCTTCTGGCCGACATCCACGTAGTATGCAGCGAAGGCGTCTGTCGCCACTTCCTTCACAACGTTCTCCCCATCGAGGACGCGGGGCTGCGGCGCCATGGGTTGCGGTGCTGACGGATTCTGCTCCTGCTCATCACCATCCCTGTGGTGGTGGTTTCTGGTGCTTCTCCTGGCGGGGTCGCCGTCTCCCGCGTCGTGTGGGATGTCCTGCAGCACGACAGCGACGCCGAGAATGGGACGTGCGGTCCAGGCCTTCCACAGCGCGACGCACTCCTTGAACAGCTCCTGCAGCCGCGCCATCGGGTCGATGCGGAAGCCGAGAATGTAGCTGCCTGCGAAGCGCGACGTCTCCAGGACGAGAGCGCGGCCGAACTTCGTGGCCCGCATGTGCAGCCCGATGAAATGCAGGTACGGGATCGACACGTTGAGGTTCGGCGCGTGCTGGGCGCACCACGCAATGCGCACGTTTGTGATAAAGAACGTGCCGATGTATCCCTGGTCGTTGCTCACGTTGCTGACGCCCCCCTGCCGCGTGAAGAGCCGCTCTTCCGGCAGCAGCACGAGCTCGCCGTCGCGGATGACGGAGCTGCGCAGCCGCAGCTCGCGGTACACCGTGCTAGACTCGTAGGCGCGCCACACCGCCGGCACAGTGGCGAAGAGGCGGAGGTTCTGCGCCAGATGCGTGAAGACGAACTCGAAGCGGCTGGAGCTGAAGCGGGCGGATATGTACAGCGCCTCGGTGTTGCCGCGCAGCCGCGAGGTCGCCCGCCGCACGTCGACGCCCTGCACGCCGTTGTAGCCGATGGTGAGGTTCTTGCGCCGGTTGCGGGCGCTGTGCCACATGCAGCGCAGGTTTGTCACGAAGAAGACACCCTCCTCGCCGTTGTTACCTTTCGTATCCTCGACGGGGCGCAGCGTCGACAGCAGCGTCTCGCCGCGCGCCGACTGCACCTCTAGCTCCTCCGCCGGAACATCGAAGCGCACCTCGCGGTCGAACCAGAACGTGAAGGCCTTCTCGACCGACGCGGTTGTCGCTGCTGCTGACCCGGCGGCTGAGGACAAAGAGAAGGACGAGGAGGATGAGGAAGGCGGAGCACTCGCGGGCATCGGGCTAACACGAAAGGGTGAGCGGGAGTCCTTGTTGCGTTGTGTCGTCTCCTCCGTCTCGTGATGCCCTGCTGTTCCACCAGTGCCACGTGTCCTACCTTGCACAGGTTTGCCCTGTTCCCGCAACACGTATACCACTCTTCCCCGCACAACGTGTGTGGTGTGGTGTGGGCGGGGTGCGTTGTAAAAGCCAATCAGATGGAATGATCGAGAGGGAGGGGGTGGTCAAACAAGCACACACACACACACACGAAGCACACAAACCAGCAGGGCACAGTGCATAGAGCACACAGAGTAAGACGTGAAGAAGCATGTGCAAGCACGATGCACAC